GTAGGGCTATGCAGTGGGTAAAGGAAAGAGCTTCTGAAAACAGCTACCCTGAGGCCTGGCTCAGCGGGTGCTCAGTAAGGAGTCACCCCACCCCTCTTCCTTTCTGGGTCCATAAAATGCCTAAATTTCTGCCGCCTTGGATCTCCAGCGCTAAAGACCTGGTGATTCCGTTGTGGTGAAGTGCTGATCTCGGCGTGCCGTGTCTTCACGGTCCCTGAGACTCCTCACGTGCGCCAGTGTGTGTGGTCATCTCGCTGGTTGGCCGTGTACACTGTCTGGCTGGTCGTACTTCTCTGGCCTTTTGTCTCTGGAAAGCAAGCTCCGTAGCAGAGACTAGTGGTTGCCTTTAATGGTCCTCGGGTGGGTGCTGGTCTGCAGGTGGCAGCTCAGGTGAAGGAGAGGCAGCCCCCGTTCTCCCTGGTATGTGTGTTCTTTTATTTTTTACTTTTTAAAAATCTTTTTGAGAAAGGGTCTCACTGTGCAGTTCAGGCTGGCCTTGAACACACTTTGTAGCCCAGGCTGACTGCTTCAAACTCGCAGTGATCCTCCTGCCTCAGCCTCCCTTGCTAGAATTACAGGCGTACGCCACCACACCCGCTGCTGTGTGTGTGTTCTTAATGGCGTTTCATCCTGTCCCCTTTTTCTTTTGGCATTAGCCCCCTTGAAATCTGGATCAGGCTCCTTAAAAAAGGCAGGGAGAAATAGAAAGAATTTCAATAATGAAAACTAAAATTCTCTGTAGCACTGGGCAGGAGGCCTTGTGCATGCCAGGCTAGTGCTCTACCTCTGAGCTATCGCCTCAGCCCCTACAAATTGGCTTTCTGAAGCTGGTTAAACTCCGGAGTGGTAGGAGAGGTGTAAGTGCTAGAGAAGCTGCTCCCAGGGGTCCCTGTCCGTCCTCACCTGCCTGGTTTCCTGCACTGTTCCCCACAGCCCAGAGGCTCAGCGTGTTTGTAGTCCTGGTTCATGGAGCAGGGCCTGCCCCAGCTCTGGAACAGAGGCCGATTCTGAAGCGTTGGGCCGTGCCGTCTCTCCAGCAAGGTTTCCCAGAGTGAAGGTGTGCATCACACAGTGTGGGGAAAGGGAACGTTTCTGTGTTGCGTTAGGAAGGAGACAGACACAGCCTGAGTAAATAACAGGGAGCTTACTTCTCCGCTGTGACTGGGTGGCATGCAGTGGCTGGGATCAAAGTACAGAAATGGGCTCTGCACTGTGGTCAGGCAGAGCTGCACACCCCTGGCCGCAGACCTCGCCGGTGCCACCTCACTGTGGTGCTGCAGGCCTTCTGCAATCACACAGCCTCCCGCCACCCCGGCCCAAGGTGTCTGAGCAGGCCTGTCCCGCCCACAGCGCCCCTTTCTGGGTCACGGGCTTCTGGTCGGCCTGGGGCTGATGATGCCGTGTGAGCCTGCGAGGAGCATCTCCCAGTCCCCAGGTATCACCCTCAGCCTTCCCACCAGCAGCCGGGCTGCCGGGGCCGAACACCACACCCAGAACGAGAGCCCGCAGGAGCCAGGCCACCATGCGGCCAGCTGTGGGGCATCTCTTATTAACAAGAAGGGACCAAGTGTCTTAATTCCATTAATGTTTGTAGTGTCTTCACCCAGCGCCAGGGTACTGGTCATGCTAGGAAGAGCGCTGCCTTCTTGTTGTGAACTTTGGGGGCGGGTAGCAGCACTCATGGCCCGGTGCCTGGCTCATAGCAAGGGCCAGCGCACTGTTGTAGCGTGGGCTCTGAGCAGATGTCACTCTGTCATCACACGGGTCCCACGAGGGGGAGAACATTGCTATTCCATTGTATCGATGAGAAAGCCAAGCGTTCATTTCCTCATGGTCATAGAAACGGGAAGTCACGGAGTTGAGAGAGGAGCCCGTGCCTGTGGCTGTCATTGCCGAGACCGTGGTGCCGTGTGGTGAGAGCTGTGACAGCACAGATGTCGCACACCGCCACGGAGAGGGAGAGCGACCGGCTTGCTGGGAGAAGGCCAGGCGCCTCAGAGCTAGAGGATTCCTCCGCCTCGCCCACTGAGCCCACAAGAGCTGGCCTTGCTCCGCCTCTCACACTGGTGCCTGGCACTGCCGCATGTCGTTCTCTGACTCACTACCCCTAAAGGGGCTTCAGGAGTGGAAGGAGTGGTGCCAGGAGACTGGCTTAATGTGTCTCGGGTTGGTGCCCCCAAGTGCTGTTTTGTGCCAGTGTCCCTGGCACTAGATCGCCGTTGTTCTCTGTCCCATTGACATCTTGGAATCAAGGGCACGGGCTCTGGAGCCAGCCTACCCCAGCCCCTCCCTGGCAGAGGGCCAGGAGTCTGGGCAGTTTCCTTAGTGCCTTGGTATCCTCTTAAGGGAAATGCGGGTGCTGGCACCTCCCTGCTAAGCCGGTGGTCAGACCCAGCTTGGGAAAGCTGTGCAGGAAGCCAAGGACGACATCCAGGGTGTGGTCAGATCTGCGAGGGACACTCGCGGGACGGGGAGCGGTAGGGTGCTGTTGAGAGCACCTTGGGAGAGCGGAGCTGGGCGGGCGGGTGGTGGGAGGGGCGTGACTAGAGGACACAGGCAGCTCTGGTGGAGAATGGCTTGGTGGCCAGTGTCAGCTGCATGCCGGATCTGCTGGCCACTCTGCTGGAAGGAGAGCCCCAGGGAGCCCAGCAGGGGACCCGGTCCCAGGGACCCGAGCCTTCGGTTTTTGACAGTCCAGATGACTGAAGAGTCCCCTCAGCCCTGCCTCACTGCTCAGGCTCCCACCTGGGAGGGGAGCACGGTGGAGGGGCCGAGGCCAGAGGAGGTCTGCTGAGGCCATCCCGGGCTCTGTGTTTCTGCTGATGAAAAGTTGTGTGGGGGGGCTTGCTCATCACTGAAGACCTTTTGGCTCAGGCCTTCCTCCCAGCTGGTCTCCTCTGAGAACGCCTTTGGTGAGCTCAGTGCCCGGAGATGCTTTGTCCTTTGTGACATTCACCTGCAAGTTCTATGCCTCGAAAGTCCTCCGCCTACGAAGGGCTTGTGTTTCTGTGCTCTGGGGAGGGCCTTTCGTACCTCACGGGCGGGGAGGTTGCAGAGACCAGCTTAGCACCCTCCCCTTGCTGTGGTACCCAAGCATTCTACACGCGCAACTGCTGGCCAAGAAACCATCTGTTACTGCGCATGTAACAAGGGACTGCAAAGTTAGTGTCTTAAAACAGCGCGAGGTACTATCTGAAGTGGGCTTTGTCGGGCCCAGATCAGTCTGTGCCTGGCCTGCGTTCCCCGTGGAGGCTGTGGGGCGCAGTCTGTTTCCTGGCCGATTCCAGTTCCCAGAAGCCACTCGCAGTCCTTGGCTCCTGGTCCTCTCCATCTTTACGCTGTCTGCGACCCTCCTGCCTCTCTCTTACAAGGACCCTGTGCTATTGCGTTGGGCTGCCCTGTTAATCCAGAACAGTCTCCTTATCTTGGTATCCTTACCCACAACAAGCAGGCCCTGCGCATCCTGAATTTAATCCTGTCTGCAGCCGGGTATGGTGGCACATGCCTGTTATCCCAGCACTTGGGAGGCTGAAGCAGGAGGATTGCTGTGAATTCAAGACCAGCCTGGGCTACAAAGTGAGCTCAAGGCCAGCCTGAACTGCATAGGGAGACCCTGTCCCAAAAAGACAAAAACAAAAACAAAACAAAACAAAACAAAAATCCTGTCTGCAAAGGCCCTTTGGCCATGTGAGGCACCATATTCACAGCTGTAGGGTTTAAGATCAAGGCATCTATGAGAGGCCGTTACTCTGCCTCCTGTTCTGTTGCAGAACATAGGACTCCTGAGCCCGCCCCTCCTTGGGCAACTTCACCTCTGTCACGGAGGAGCTGTTGAGAGCTTTGGGCAAGTGATTTAACCCCCTGCATCCCAGTTTCTTCGTCTGTGAGGCGCCTGCTTGGGTCCTTGGGACCCAGAGAGTCAGCACTTACCAAGTGGCAGGGTGTTTTCATTTTTCCCTGCTCCTTTCTTGTGCGTACGCACCAGCACACGTGTGTGATTTTTCTTCTGATGTTCTTTGGTGAGTTGTGACGCGGCTTGGTGTGATTATCCGGATGAAGGCACATGCTGGTCCGTTGAGAGCATGTTGGCTTCATGGTAAACTGCCACTCAGTTCCTTGCTGCTACTGCTGCTGTTCCCAGGGCTGGGGATGGAGCCCAGGGCCTCACAAAGGCTAGGCAAGTGCTCTGCCCCGGGCGACATCCCTGGGCCTGGCATTTTATATTAGAGCTGTAGAGAGCAGCGCAGCGGACCTATTAGTCTTGGTGGTCTTTGCCTCTTTCTGAGTTATTTTCATGCTGTAAACTCCTACACTTTTAGAGTCACTGGCACAGCCTCTCACCATGCTCTCCAAGGCATACAGAACCTGTTCGCCCTGCTGCCACACCCCTGGAAGTGGGTATTAGCTGACATGAGAAAAGTTGCTTTTCTTTTATTTTTTTTTTTGAGACAGGGATTCACTATGCAATTCTGTCTGTCCTTGAGCTCACTCTGTAGCCCAGGCTGGTCTCGAACTCGTAAACTCATGGTGATCCGCCTGCCTCAGCCCCCTGAGTGCTGGGATTACAGGCGTGCACCACCAGGCCCGGCTATTTTTCGTTCTTACAGCAAATGCTGCTCGCCTGTCTCCTGCGTGTGCCCTGTCGGGGTGCTGGGAAGACGATGTGAAGGCACAGGCGCATCCTTGCCCTAGAGCAGGTCTTCAGCATGAAAGGCGACTGCCTGTTCAGTTAATAGGATTAACAGGGCATCTCAAGGTTCCTTTTATTTGCATTGCTTTATTCCTTCATCCTCTAGTCTGTTCTTTTCTATTCTCTTCACAGTGAGTAGTCATTCAGTGGAGTAAATTTCCTGGTCTGGTGCCCTAGGACACACAGTCTTGAACTTTGCGAACGCTCTGGTGGGGATGACCTTTTTGGGCTCCTGCGCCTGCGGGCACCTGCTGTGACTCGCAGGCCCTGCTTCCATTCACCACTGGCGAACGTGTGCTCATGTTCCCAGGGACCGACGTCATGGTGCGGTGCCTCAAGCTGCTGAAGGAGTTCAAGAAGAAGGTTGAGGATGACCACGATGACGATGACGACGAGGAGGTCATCTCCAAGGGAGTGCCCCCGGTGGACATCGTGTATGAGCGGGACATGCTCACGCAGACCTATGACCTCAGTGAGTCCCGGCCTAGGCTTGACTCGGGGTGCGCCGCAGGGAAGCAGCGCCCTGCGGCCAATAGTGTCACGCAGCAGGAAGCAGCGCGGTCCTTAGAGGCTCGGGCTGGACGCCGATTCCAGTTTGAAACGTGGCTGCCCTCCTCCGTGTGACTTTAGCAAGGTCTTTAGCATGGGATGTGTTAGGGTTCTTGAGAGAAACAGAACCGGAAGGCTATGGAAGAAAATAGATGAGAGGAAATGCACTTGGGGAATTGCTTCATGGGATAATGGGGGCTGAGAAGTCTTACCCTAGACCTGTACACGCGGGAAGCCCGAGAGCCTGTAGGTCCTGAGCAGAGAAGAAGGAAGGGTGTCCCTTTCCTCTGCCTTTCTGTTCTCTCTGGCCGCCCGCCGATTACCTGTGCAGCCCACCAAATCGCAGCCCGGACTTGTCTAGCAACGACCTCACAGACACGTCTAGAAGTAACACTTCACCAGTTGTCTAGGATCCCTTCCTCCAGCCAAGCTGACACCTAATAGTAAGCTTCACATGGGGCTAATACCCACACTAGCACATCTGAGGGGAAAGTGCTACAGGATTAAAAAGTCCAGAGCAGTGCCCAGTGCATGGAGAGCACACTCACTGAAACAGCTCATTGTCTTAGTCTGTGTCCTGGTGCTGTAACAAAGTGCTCAGAACCGGGTAACTTGTGAAGAAGAGTTTACCTTGACTTCCGGTTCAGGAGGCTGGAGCATGTAGAGTAGTGCCGGGGTCTGCCCAGCTTCTGTGTGGAAGCAGCCTGTGCTGCTCTGTGTGTGGGAGAAGAGCAGGAGGGCAGATCTGTGGAAGGGGCAGAACGCAAAGTATAAGCTTGCTTTTGGCACAACCTGGCGTTCTCTTAGCAGCTGACACAATCCCGTGAAAGCATAAAACCGCTCCTGTGGGAAGGCGTTTGTCTGTGCAGGAGGGCGCCACACCCCTACCCCAGAGGCTGCCCGCTGAGCCCCACAGCACTGCTGTGTTGTGGATTAAGCTGCAGCGTAAAGGCTTATGAACCACCCCTCCCTCCTAGGACAGGTATGGAGTCATCACAGGCTGGCTAAGCTGGTGATGAAGGGCGAGAAAACCGTCCTCCCACTCCTCACCCTCCCCTAGCCTCCCAAAACGCGTGCGGGACAGCTGTGACCCAGTGCCGTGGGCGGTGTGGCCGCAGCCCCTGCGGGGAGGACAGAGCGGAGGGTGAAGCGGCCGCAGGAGGTGTAGTAACCCCACTGGCAGGTTGGCCAGCCTTTTAGAGAGCGGTTTGACAGCTTTGACAGCTCTTGTGTGAGAGGGTCCTCGGAACACAGTTTGGGAACAGCTTGCCCCTAATCCTTTCATCTCCGCTTTTAGCGTGTTGCCGGATCAATAGAGGAACCGTCGCAGTCATCCCTTTTTATTCTGCCCTGTATTTTTATACATGTATGATATAGCAACATCTTTATCCTGATTGATTTTTCCTGGCAGCCCCATCTCTGTGGATGTATCAGAAAATAAAAGAGAAACTACTTCTGAAACGTGAAAGAGCTTTGCCACCGCATATGCCCCGCAGCCCATGGACTTCGCTGCGGGAACCTCCTTCCCACCTCCCACCCCCAGCCAGGCCCCTTCCTAGACGTCTCTGTCCCAGAGTAGAGGAGGGAATTGAAAAGAGCCTCTTAGAGACAGATACAGTAGCTGCGGAGAAACAGCAGCCGACAGGAGCTGAACAGGAGCTGACAGGCTCCACAGCGCAAATTGTAGGGCCCGTCATCGGCGAGGCCTCCACCATCAAGCTCAGTACCGCTGTTCCCGTCCTGCCCCTGCTTGTTCAGCAGCTGAAGTCCATGGTGTCTCTGTGTCAGCTGAGAAAGACAGGAACAGGAAACACACGCCTTAGAAGACGTTCTCAGAGCTGCGTGTGGGGGTGCAAACCTCTCATCCCAACACTCCGGGGAGCCGAGGCAGGAAGATTGCAAGTTTGAACCTAGTCTGGGCAGTTAGTACTTAGACACTGTCCCCAAATAAAAAAAGGGCTGGGCTGTAACTAAGTGTGAAGAAACCTTAGTACTAGAAAAAATAGTATTTTAAAATACTACTTTGCTTTCTAAAAAGGGATCAATTTCATTTATCTGAAAAAGTTCATTCGGAGAAGGTGGTAATTTCCTAAGTAAAAATGGTGTTCATAGAACTCAACAGATCACTCTGCTTTACCTTCAGTGCTCTAAAGTGGAGGAGCCAGACAGCAGGGACCCCTAACAGGAGCTGTTAGGGTTCCTACCGTGTAGTGTTTCCAGGCTCAGGAGGCACTTGTTCTTCGGGGAGAGGCGCGGCAGCAGCCTGCGGGTTACTGGCCGCCCTGTGGGCAGTGGGTGCAGCTCCGCCCTGCAGAGAGGCTGGGGCTCACAGGGCTGTTTCTTGCAGTTGAGCGCAGAGGCACAAAAGGAATTTCCCAAGCTGAAATCCGAGTGGCCATGAATGTGGGAAAGCTGGAAGCGAGAATGCTGTGTCGGCTTCTTCAGAGGTTCAAGGTTGTCAAGGTAACGCCCTGAGCCATCCCTGCAGCTCCTCTCTGTGGGTGTGCCTGCTCGGTGATTAGGAAGCAGACTCAGGCAGTCAGAGGACTGGAAGCCCTGCCATCTCTATCCAGGCGGCAAATGACACCATGTCGTGTCTCCGCCTCCCCGTGGCTTTTGTTTGTTGCCACTTTTTAGAAACTCAAGGAGTTGTCAGCATAAAAGAGTCACAGGGTGAGGCAGGGCCACTAGGCGCTCATTTCTCTGCAGGGACAGGCAGCCAGAGCTGGCTAGTGCCTGTCCACCTGCCCTCTCTCTCTTCTAGGTGACTTGCCTGGGACCTGGGCGCATCAGATCAGCTAACGGTGCATGTCTGGTGTTCTCTGTTTGTCGTTTAGACTGGCATCTCACACTCTGATGCTTATATGAGTCAGCATTACATAACTATAATGAAATACCTGAGGCAGTTGGCTTTTAAAGAAAAAAGGTTTATTCCAGTTCATGGTTCTGGAGGCTGCAGAAAACCTTGAAAATCAAGTAGCCTCATTGCTTCAGGCCTCTGGTGAGGCAGCACATCATGGTGGCGGCACATGGCTGCGTAGACTGCTTACACCCTGAGCCGGAACGGGAGCGAATGATTGGATCTCCTGACCCACTTTGAGCGCATGCCCCGAATGGCCTAGGGCCTCCCTCTAGGTCCCACTTCCTGAAGGTTCTTCAGTCTCCCAGTAGTGCCACCCAGGCACCAGTCCTTTCTCAAGGGCCTGTCGGGGTTCTTGTCCAAACCTTTGCCGCACTTGACCCTTGTCTTGCCTGCCTTTGGGGCATTTTGCCAGAAGGCAGGATTACAGTTGAGCTAACGACAGCAAAGACCTTAGCAGCCCCCTGTCACGGGGTGAGTACGTAGAAGGTGTTATTCCTTCTCTTCTCGAGGGCTCTAGGAAGAACCCCGATGAAACGAGTGTGGGCTGGCAGTGGCTGAGGGGAGCTGGTGCCCCCTGGGCCCTGACTATGGTGTGTTACAGACACACGCTGCTTGTTGACCATGTTTTGTGAGCCACGTCCCACGCCAAGCATGGCAGCGACTTGGAAGCACGCGTGAGGGTCCTGGCCTCGGGTGCTGTGGGCGCCAGAGGGTAGACGCTCAGAGGAGTGCTCTTCAGGAAGCCCTCTGGCCGCTGGGGGCAGCAGGTCCTGAGACGCTGAGACAGGGAGGCCCAGGAGCGGCCCAGGCGTGAGACCGGAGACCCAGGGAAGGCGAGGATCAGGTCCCGGGGTACCTGTGGGCATAGCACCACTTTTGAGTGTGCCGAACCCATCCCACCCGCAGGGGTTCATGGAGGACGAAGGTCGGCAGCGCACCACCAAATACATCTCGTGTGTGTTCGCCGAGGAGAGTGACCTGAGCCGGCAGTACGCCCAGGAGAAGGCCCGCGGCGAGCTGCTGACCACCGTGAGCCTGGCCTCCATGTCCGAGGAGCCGCTGCTGCCCGAAGGCGAGGACGCCTTTCTCTCGGAGTCGGACAGCGAGGAGGAGGGCGGCTGCAGGGGCGGCAAGCGCAGGGCCAGGGGCGGCCCCCGGAGGGCCTCCGCCGAGTTCGGGCCTGGCTGTCGGCCTCATCACTCCACCCCGACCAAGGGTAGGGAGCCGCGGTGGGGTCGGGGGCACACACCGAGGCTTCCCTTTGTGCTGCCCAGATGGGGGCCTTTGCCTCCCAGAGTCACAGGGCTGGGCGGGGCAGTCGTGTGGTCTGTCTCCTGCTTGCTGGAGCGGCGCCTCCTGGCAAGTGCTTTGTTCTGTTTTTAGTTACTGCTGGATGACAGTCCCTGAGCTTCCCTCCAGCACTCTCCCCAGAAATCCCCAGCTTCTATAAACTCGTTATGGAATACTGAGAAAAACACTGTGGAGGGGAGGGCTGGTGGTAAATTTGCAGAGCGGTTGTCCAGCCTTGCAAGGGGAGGGGCCCGAGCTGCTTGCCAGGCCAAGAGCCTGGTCTGTCACAGATCTAAGCAGGTCCGTGGCCACCGTGGGTGCTGGGCCACCAAGCGCAGAAGCCCTCTCACCTCCCTCTGACTACTGTGCTCCGGCCCTGGTCACAGGTGGGTGGAAGCTCCTCAACCTTAACCCCTTGAAGAAGCAGCTGCCTTCCTCCCCCGGGACTGCTGAGGAGCGCGCCTCCCGGAGCTCTTGGGGCAGGGACCCCCTGGACACCAGCGGCTCCTCCGACCTCAGCCAGTCCTTCGGCTCCCACTGCATGGAGAGCACCAGCGGTGACATAGCCATGATCGAGGAGGTCCGGCTCGAGAACCCCAAGGTCAGTGGCGGGAAGGGGGGCCTCATCTCCAAGAAGGGGCCGCTGGCAGGTGGGCATCTGCCTTCTCCTTGCTGTGCTTGTGGATCCCAGGGACAGCGCCAGAATCTGGTGTAAGGGTGTCACAGGCCGAGTTCCTGCCCCGTCCCAGCAGTGGCCGGGGGCTGGGGATTTAGCTCAGCGGCACAGCGCCTGCCTGCCAAGCACAAGGTTGTGAGTTCGGTTCCTGGTACCAGAGAAGAACCAAAAAGAAGAAAAAAAACAAAGCCAGTGGTGGCTGGGGTAACGGGCGCTTGTTCACCCGCCTCCTTCGTGGCCTGTGCTCTAGGTGGAAATCCTCCGCGCCGTTATTTGCCCCGGGGTTCAATGTCCAATAGCTTGCTCTTCTCACATGGGCAAATGCTTTTCAGAGGAAGAATTTGTGTGACTGATTCAGGTCGTCCTGGGCCAGTGTTGCTCCCTACAGGACATTTGCGGTGTGGCTGCGTCTGGAGATGGCCTTTTGTCACAGCGAGGGAGGGGGTCTACTAACGCGGAGCAGGACAGGCCCAGATTGTGCTTCGTGTTGGTGTTTTGAGACAAGGTCTCACTCTGTTGCCCAGGCTGGCCTTGAACTTAGACTCAGACCATTGTCCTGCCTCAGCCTCCTGAGTAGCTGGCTGTATAGGTGTGTGCCACCAAATTCAGCCGCACATTTTTCTTTTCTCTTGTGGTGCTGGGGATCAAACCAGAGCCTCTTGAATGTTAGCACGTGCTGCACCAGTGAGCCGCGGCCCCAGCCCTGGGATGCCGGTAAAACTCACAACAGTGAATCATCCGGGTCAGAGTGCCCACACTGCCAGGGTTGAGAAGCCTCACTTAGATGCGAGGCCAGTACTGTTTGTGTAAAAATAAGGTGATCATAAAACAGAAAAAAATACATATTAGTACATTCTGACCTAACGCTGGCCTATGTCGAGGTGTTAAATACACAGTAGGGTCCAGCGAATGCATTTCCGTCAGTGTAATGAGAAGGATTAAAGGACAGCGGATGCGGAGGTGCCCTTCTCACTACGCGTTTCGGGTCACCGGGTGCCTGTCCTCTGTCACCGAAAGGTGCTTCAGATACCGCCAGGACCCTGCACGCAGAGCGGAGGGCGAGGCGGCTGGCGTGGGATGGCCTTGTGACCGGGCAGCTCCTGGTGCTCTCGCTGCTCTGGTCCCGGCTTCACACCCCGGCAGGGCAGCCAGGGCCCTGGGAACGCGTCACCACTGTGGGGTCCGTGCTGCGCTTACCCTCCCGTGCTTCTCTCCTGGAGCAGGGCCTGGCTTCAGTTATGCCCGTAGCAGAAGGGACAGGGCCCGGTACGGATGTCTCCAGGCCCTCTGGGCCCTCCAGTGTGCGGGGCACCTTCCCCCTGTCGGCGCGTGGTTTGTGTGTCTCCAGACCGCCAGCGTGGGCCCCTGCTGCTCCCTGGGGCTTTCTCCCGCTTGCCTCGCTCCCAGCGTGCGCTGCTCCAGGGCTTAGAATCCCTGGAGCTCTGTCCTCGCTCAGCTCTTCCTCCTTCCGATAGAAGTCCACTCCCAGTGAGGACAGCTCGTGTGCCTTGTGTGCGACTTTCTGGGAAGGGCAGGCTCTGCTGTCCTTGGGGGCTCCTGGCGAGGCAGGAAAGCAGCCGCTTGACTCCTTGGTGGCTCGTGCTTTGTAGATTTTCCCCTCCGTCCCTCCCCCCTTGTGAAAGGGCTGTACCTTGCCCGGAGGCCTACAGTGGGTGGGGTGTGAGCTGGACCGGCACCTTCTTGGCTTGGTCTCAGTCCTGCAAGTGCTGCTCTCAGTGAGGAGGTGATGGGCACAACCCTCCCCAGGCTGCTCTGGAGCGGATTTGTGCTAGTGACTTGCAGGCAATGCTTTGGAGGGTGGGTTTCTTTCCCCTTCGAGGTTCGCATTTGGGCTGTACCACAGGTTGACCCAAAGGCAGAGGATACAAGTTCGCTTTAAGCTCATGGAAGACAGAAAGGAGACGTAAGAGTGACGTGGGCTTTTCAACAGGACTACAAGAGGAAATACAAGCGCCTCTCTTCTTTCCTTCCTCCCACCTTTCTTTCCCTGGCATCGTAGTTCCCTCAGGGAGCCTTTGCTGAGCTCCAGAGCCTGTCTCTGCCCTTGTCAAGGGGTGGCCTACAGATCTCCCGAGGTCTTCCACATGCAGTCTTGTCCAGTGGGAGCCCGGGTGGGTCCTTAACCCCCAAGCCCTGCGTCCCCCGTTTGTGAGAAGAGAGCAATAGTAAGAAGGCCATTGTCTTTGACTGTGGAGCCTGATAGAGACCTCAGTGAGGATGACAGCCCCACCACCCCTGCAGAGGAGCCGGGGGAGCGTGGCGGGCCGTCCTGTGCTTCCGGGAGCTTGAGTTCCAAAGCGGGCTGCCTGGGACCCCCAGCTGTGCGTTCTGTCACGTGTCAGCGTCGAAAGCAGAGCGTGGCGGGGTCCTGTGCAGGGGACAGGAGGTGGGAGTGTCCCGCAGGTGTGGCGTCTGCCCGGCCCTCCCGAGCCCTTCGTGTCGTCCTCCAGGAAGGCGGCAGCTCCCAGAAGGGTGGGAAGCACGGCTCGGGCCAGGACAAGCCCCACAAGACTTACCGACTGCTGAAACGCCGGAATCTGATCATAGAGGCCGTCACCAACCTTCGCCTGATCGAGAGCCTGTTCACGTAAGTGGCACCCCCTGCGCGTGTGTCTTTCTTCCCTCCCGTAGTCACCACCTGCAACAGAAGGGGTCATGTGGCCTTTGGAGTGTGCTCGCGTTGTTTAGAAACAGACGCGAGGAATGTCCGTGTGCCACACAGGGAGAGAGTGGCTGGGCAGGAGCGAGCAGTCACAGGGACGTGATTCACCTTTTTCTTTACCGTGTGGGGAGGAAAACAAGAAACTCCGGCAGGCGGTTTTGTCTGTAGCTCACCCCGGGGCCTTCTGACATGTGAAATCTTCCACGAAAGAATGAGCCAAAGGGACATGAATAGAAGCGTGGTGTTCGGGGCACAGCAGAGGCCCCAAGGTCTGGTGGGGTCCTTCCGACCCTCACTGCCACCACCGCCTGGGTGTCATCATCGAGGCCCCTGAGCCAGCCGGTATCCATGCCACTTGGTGAGAGGGAGCCCTGACTGCAGCCAAGGACGTGGTCCCTCACACTGACGGGGCTACGGTGCGGGCAGGGCCATCCATCCGCATATAGGTTGTCGCCTTGGTCCCCTCCTCTGTGCCCTGCCAGTCTCTGATCAGTGATCTGGAAACGTCACCACGGGGACTCAGTAAGATCTAGAGTGAGACACCCTATATCGAGAATCAAAAGAGCCGTGGGTACCAGGGTGCAGTGTAAACTGGACCCTTCCTTCGCTGCGTGTTCAGTTAGCAGGTAGACTCGGGAAGACACGGCCCCATCACGGCCCTGCTGCCTTGCCCTGCTTGGCTTGCCGGTGAGAGGCTCGGCGTCTGGAGCCGCTGTGGTTGGCGGCAGGGCTCCAGCCAACGCCCTCACCGTAGAGGGATGGTCCTAGTATTCTAATGTCAGGCTTCCCAGTGCGGTGAAAGGCTGACTCTTAGAATTAATTTTCATTCTTCCCTGGTTTCTGTTTGATGCCTTTCGCCACGTGTCTGTGACTTGTTGAGAAAGGCCTTCCATGGGGAGGGGGGGACCGTGAACTGCTTGTTCTGTGGTGTCGCAGGATTCAGAAGATGATCATGGATCAGGAGAAGCAGGAGGGCGTGTCCACCAAGTGCTGTAAGAAGTCCATCGTGCGCCTGGTGCGGAACCTGTCTGAGGAAGGCCTCTTGAGGCTGTATCGGACCACGGTTATCCAGGATGGCATCAAAAAGAAGGTAACCCCTCCGTGCCCCCGTGGAGCTGGCCGCGTGCTGTGGCAGATTTCCTTGTCTGCCTTCTTGTCCTTGCTGCATGTCGGTTGTTCCTTCGCTATGGGTGACCGGGAGTGTTCTGTTACGCCGCCCTGTTTGGGAAGCAGGTGTCACCCCACCTTTATGGGGAAGCCGAAGCAGACAGGAACAGAACTTGCTTGGATCCCCGCACAGCAGCTCAGCCTGAGGCAGGTGTCCAGTACCGCTGGGGAAAGGGGAGGGAAGGTGGAGGCCGCTGAAGTTCAGTAGAGCAGTGTTGGGAGAAATTAAATCACCCCATCTCTCATGCCTTCACTTACCTGTTTCTGTAAATTGTGCCCTTTGTGGTCATTCCTGTAGCAACTGCAGCTCAGCGGCTTTGCACACTTTCTGTGGCGTCCATTTTCCAGGGTCAGAGTGATGTGGTCATTTCTGCTTTCTCTCACTTTATCTTATTGTTTGAGAAATTTGTAAAACACAAAGCAGTACAGTAAGTGGCTTAAATGCAGTGTCTTCTCTTGCACGTTGACAGTGCTTACCTGCTTGTATATCTGTTTTAAGCCTTTTTAAAAGAGAACGATAAAGTCCCTTTGTCCCAGCCTCTCTGTCCCCGCCAGCCCGCCACTCTTCCCGTTGAGCAGTGGCAGCGGGCCCTGGTACTGAGCAGGAAAGGCCCAGCCCATCAGCAGCTGCCACTCTGATTTCTGTTGCTCCTCAAAGAGCTGCTCTTGGGACTTTCAGCCTCCTCGGGGTGGTGACTAAGTGCACCACATCCTCCCCTGAGCTCGGGACTGGGGAGAGAGCACTGGCTCTGGGATCAGCTGTGTTTCCCTCTGCACTATGGTGCCGTGCTAGCAGGCTGTGCCTGAGGGGCAGGCAGAGGCTGGAGCAAGGGATGAGGGCAGCAGCTCACCTGGGGGTCCCACAATTTCAAAATGCAAGTGCGGCCGGCCGTGGTGGCGCACACCTGTAATCCCAGCACTCGGGAGGCTGAGGCAGGAGGATCATTGTGAGTTCGAGGCCACCCTGGGCTACAAAGTGAGCTCAAGGCCAGCCTGAAGTACATAGCAAGACCCGGTCTCAAAAGGACAAAAAATAAAAAAAAAAAACAAAATGCACGTGTGCAACAGAGGGAGCCTTGGGTCCCGGGGTAGCACTGCAGTAGCTGCTTTTGCGGATGGAGAGGCTGCAGGATTGAGTGTGCACCTCCCGACCAGCTTCGGAGTTAGAGCTGAGGCTTGTTTCTTGGCAGGGCTTGCTCCGGCGCCTGGGGCCAGAGTTGCCTGCCGTCTTGTGTTGGCCCAGGCACGTGCATCTGCCTTGTGCCCTGGCCCCTGTGCCCCGCCTTGATCACCCTGCCTTTGAGATGTTCACTGGGCGGGGGAGAGTGGGGAAGTAGAAACGCTGCTATTTGTACTTTGCTGTTAAATACTCCGAAATGTCGCCTAACTGCCTCATTTAGTCTACCGCAAAGAAATTGAGGTGCAGAGGTGGCTGTGAGGACCCTCATTTCACGGATGAGGAGTGGGAGAGCCTGAGCCAAGCGGGCCTTTTTGAGTCCCCTTTTGGACATTGCTGCTTGTTTCTTGGTTCCACACCTGCCAGAGCCCATTTTTGCCACAAAGCTGCCGGCCACAGTTGACACTCAGGAAAGCCCACTTCCTGCCGCAAGAAGCCTTGGCTCGCCACACACCCAGCCAGGCGCCGTCCTCAGCGCCCGCGGCCTGCTGTCCTGCTCACCCCTCCCCTGCCTCCTCTCTGCGGGTGCTTTGCTTTGTTCATCTCGGGCTCATATGAGCCCCTGAATGGTTCTGCCTCAGTTTCCAGGGAGGGAAAGACAAAAGCAGCTCTAAATCCTTTGCCAGATTGTTGAGGATTGTGGCTGGTGGGAACCCCACAAGGGTGACACTCTCAGCGGAGGGAGGGGGAGGAAATCCGCCTGATTTCCATGATGGACAGGTGGATGTGTGCGGGAGTCAGGAGCAGCTATGGGAAACTATCAGATAGTGGAGCGGGCATGGGCAGCGGCCCCCAGGTAGTGGCCCCCAGGTAGCAGTGGAGCTCGGTGCCCAGCGGGAGAACTGCAGGGCAGAAGTCTGTCTGTCCTGGGTTTGGTTGCTCTGTTACTTGCAGAGTTGTGATGCCGCCAGTTGTAACAGCAAACCGTTGAGCAAGACCTTTTGCTTCCCTCTGCCGGTGGTCTTTGGAGGATGTCAGTAAGAACAGGCAGAGCTGACATTCCACTAAGGAACCTGCTTCAGGAGCTGCAGCTTCCTGAGCTCTGCACTGCCCTTTGGGGTGCCCTGGCCTTTCTCTACAGGTGGATCTGGTTGTGCACCCGTCCATGGACCAGAACGATCCCCTGGTGAGAAGTGCCATTGAGCAGGTTCGCTTCCGGATCTCTAATTCAAGCACAGCAAACAGGTAAGTGGTGGGGTCAGGCGAGCCCAGGGTGAGGCTGCCAGCCTGTGTGTTCCTGCCTGAAGCCCCCGCAGAGCGCTTGGTGCTTCCCGGCACCAAAACAGCTACTGATCCAGGATTCGTGCTGCATGATCCCGTCATCTAAACCAGGATGAATTTCTGGATTCTTTAAGCAAAGCAGAGCCCCATGTCCTTAGTGCTGGCTTCTCTGATCGAGTGCGTTAAGAGCATTCCCAGGCACAGCTTGTGCCATATGGAACTCCCTCTCAGAATGGCTCAAAATGATGCCACTTGGCTCCCGAGATTCTGTCTGATGGAGCTCATGAACCACCTAATGGGCCAGGAGACAACTTGGGGCTTGGGAGGGAGCGCTCAGCCGGATCTAAAGGAGAGGTGGGTGCTGGCGTGGAGGCGGCCCCTGCTTGTGTGGCCAGCTGTGCTTCGGCCTCATAGACTTTGGATCAGCTGCTCATCGGTTTCTCCTAAAATTCCTGACGTTTGGCGCCTGTGAAAGTGCCAGCAGACCTAGCGCAGAGGGCTCCACCTCCCGAGGCTGGGTTGCCCTTGGCTCACAGGGTCCCCCGCCCCTCAGGTCTTAATTACTGGTGCCCTGACGCCCACTTTGCTTATCTGCATGGTCTACCTGACCCCAGGGGGTTTTGAGTTAGAACCCACCCCCACCCCCACCCCAGCCGCTCTCTGCTCCCAGCCCCGTGTTTGCTCCATGCATGTCACACTTTGTGCTTGGACTGTAGGGTTAAGGTTCCCCAGCCTCCAGCACCCCCAGAGGAGGTAGAAGAAGAAAGCCAAGGACAAGAGGAACCAAGTGGATCAGGAGACACGGACGCGAACGCTTCCTCCAAACCAGACAGCGGGCGGGCAAAAAAGACCGACGAGAAGATGGGCGTAACCCCGATGAAAAATTACCACCCTGTTGTAGGTAAAACGCGCCTCTCTGCCCAGGCCGGCTGTGCCAAGTTGTTCGCACGCCGATGGGTGGGTCACCGGGAGACCTGCGTTTGCGCTCCGGGCTGCAGGCGGACCGATGCGGTTGGAATTGCTGGCGGGTCGTGTTGGGCTGGTCGCGTCACCTCTGCGGGCCTCCGTTTCCCTCTCTGCACGTGGGGATTCTTGTCCCACAAACCTCAGAAAGAAAGGTGAAATGATGCCAGATCCTACTGTCTGAGGTCTGACTTACAAAGATATTCCTGCTGCTCACTGCCTGCGGGCGAGGACCCCTAAGAAGCTACAGAAGACCTCCCTGTCCCGAGCCCGCAAACCCTCTGCCGTTGTCCTGAGTTCTCTGCAACCTCTCCCTCGCGCCCCACCTTGCTGCTCCGGTGTGAACCGGTGCCAGCCCAGTGCGGGGGCTGGGCTTTCTAAGCAGGGCTGGACTCCTGCCGGATACAGTACATGCACAGCGGGGGCCCCATGCTCCAGCTTTCCCAGTTGGAAAGTGAGACAAGCGCCCCGTGAGCGCTCAGGTCGCAGCCGAGCAGCACGTGGGCCGGGGCAGCGTGTCGGACCCCCACTGTCCACGCTGCCACTGGGCCCACACCTGCCCTCTGTCACCGGGAGCTGAGGGACCAGTTTACTGTAAGAAGAAAGAGATACACTTCTCAAGAGAGCTGAGGGTTTGGAATGTCTGGCACAGCCTAGAAGTTCCTACGCACGGCCCTCCCTTCTCGTACACCCCTGCCTCCCTCCCGGCTCCGCCCTGTCGCTCGGCCTCCTGCCCTGCCTCCGGGTGTGCCAGGCGTGGACATGACAGTACCTTGCAGTTGTCCTGGACATGTCCCCATGTGTCTGCACAGCCCATTCCCTCGGTGACCGGAGGGCTCGGCTCCCAGGCCCGTCGCCAGGGAGGCTTGTCCCTGTCTCTGGAATCACAGCCCTTGTCCGTCTTCTGCTTTTTCTGCACCAGCAACCTCCACACGATGTGCTAGTGTACTGTTGCGTTTTATCCTTTCCAACTGGAAAGTGAGCTCTAAAGGTGTGAGAACATTTGCTGCCCCGTCCTGCACCTGGGCACGGTGCCGCTCTGCTGTCTGGACGGCGCGCGCCGCGTTCATTGTGGGGTTCCTCACGCGCGGCTGTCTCCTCCCCGCTCCAGTTCCCGGCCTTGGGCGCTCTCTTGGGTTCCTGCCCAAAATGCCTCGCCTGCGGGTGGTGCACACGTTCCTGTGGTACCTAATCTACGGGCACCCTGCCAGCTACGTGGTGGACAAGACGGTGTTCAGCACCGAGAGGAGAGGCGGCAGGCACAGCAGAGGAGACTGGGAGCCCTTGGAGCGCAGGGACAGTCCGGACACTGTGACCTGGGAGGCCGAGGTGGAGCTGTCCACAGAGACGGGTGAGACACCTGGGCCTGCACCTGGGGCCGGAGGGCACGGGGTGGAGCGCCTGAGTGGCTGTGTCCTCATGCCGCCCCTGAGAGAAGTGGAGACACATCCACACTTCCTAACCCTGGGGCGCCTGTCTCCCCCTTCCTACCTGAGCAGGAGGGTTTTGCCCAAGTTGGGGGGGCAGTACTTCTGGGAGGTGATCTCACCACCCTGAGTGGGACATTCTCTGCTGGGAGTGACTCCAGCTGTTTTCCTAGTGTACGTGGATGACGCCTCCTGGATGCGCTATATCCCTCCCATCCCGGTCCACAGGGACTTCGGCTTCGGCTGGGCTCTGGTCAGTGACATCCTCCTCAGCCTGCCCCTTTCCATCTTCGTGCAGATTGTGCAAGTCAGCTACAAGGTATGGGTGACGCTGGGGCCCACACTCACCGCATCAAGGGGATGTATAGCTGCCTGGATGGAGTGGGGAGGGCCAAGCAAGGGAAAGTACCCCCTGGATTATTTATTCTTCTAGGTTAGGTTAGATTAGATTAGATTAGAATTGATAGTAGGTAGTGGGAAGGAAGGAAAGATGGGTAGATGGATGGACGGATGGGTGAATGTTCAAAGTATACACTTCAAACACTTATTCTTCTAGATAGATCTATCATTGGGTAGATGGTATCTTGGCCACTTTTCTCTCATTGCTGAGACAAAATACCCAGTGCCCAGAGTTAAGGAAGGAAAGGTTTATTTAGCTCACAGTCTGTGGAGGTTTCAGTCCATATTCGGCTGGCTCCAAGGCAGGTTGGGACACGGCAGAGGGGCAGCGGTTCATGGCAGCAGAATACTGCAAAAGCAGCAAGAGCAAAAGGGGGGAGCAGCAGAGAGCAAGCCTCTTCCTCTCCTTATGCTGTATGCAGGCTCCCCGCCAGGCGGTGCAGCACTCACACCCATAATCCCAGCACTGGACTGTGAGTCAATCACAAACTCCACAAGCCGCCCCATGACTGCATGAGGCTTTGGGGGACATGCAGACACAAACCCTAAAAGATGGGTAGATAGGAAAGGAGGGCAGTAGTACAGTTACGGTGTGACAGTAAAACAGGTTTCCTTCTTCTTTAAGGAATCTAGTAAACATAGAAAAAGGAAAAAGTAGGAGTTGCCCGTAATCTAATCGGTCAGCGAGATAATCACTGCTACCGCTTTCGGTGCATTGCTTTTAAACTTCGTTACTACAGTGCATGTGTGTGTGTAAAATCTCCCTTTTTAAAAAAACTGAATTGAGATCATATTTACTGTCTCATTATGATTTTCCACACCATTACATTTCTTAACTTGATATTAAGTAGTTTCCTAGTTTCCTTAGGGTAGGGTGGAAGTACAGTTGTTGGGTAAACTCTTTTAGAGGCAGTAAACGTCTTCATGTTTTTGTTGTTTAACGTAAGTAAATAAATCCCCCTCCTTCTGGGAGCTCTTAGCAGTTGGTTGTGCGTTGTGCGGCACATGGCCTCGAAGGCAGGTGTGGAGGCCAGGGCGGAGGCCCAGCAGGTCACGAGGTCGTGGCAGTGGGTGTTTTCAGGGAGCCTTGCTCCCATCCCCCCTGGCCCTCTGGCTGAGCTGACCCTGCGCTCGGCCCTCCAGGTGGACGACCTCGAGGAGTACCTGAGCCACCCTCTGAAGCAGCACACGCTGATCCGCTTCCTCCCCAGGCCCATCCGGCAGCAGCTCCTGTACAAGAGGTGAGGCCCTTGACCCTGGCCCACACCAGCCAGCCCCTGGGCCAGACCAGCCCCGGTGTCAGGCTCGGAGGGCTCGCTCCGCGGGAGGAAGAAGGGCATCTGCCTTCCGGCTCACTGAGACTGCAGGTTCTCATTCGTTCAGCCACCGCAGAAGTATGAACTGGCACATTTTATTACTTGCTTTTGAGTAACCAGTCATGTAAAACTGCTGCCAGGCCTGCAGTTAGCAAACCGTGTGTCTTTCATTTTGCTCTTTTCCCGCTGGCGCATTTATTTCCCAAATCAGGCTGTAAGTGCGGGCCAGCCCCCTCGCTGGCCCGGTCGGGTTGGAAAGGGCCCTGGTGCAGCCCCTGTCCTGCGGAAGCAGCAGGGTGGCGCCGCCTCTGTTGCAGGCGGTACGTCTTCTCGGTGATGGAGAGCCTGCAGAGACTGTGCTACATGGGGCTGCTGCAGTTCGGCCCCACGGAGAAGTTCCAGGACAAGGATCAGGTAATGCCCGCGGCCGAAGGATGGGCCCCCACAGCCTGCCAACGCTGACCCCGGCGCTCCTCTCCCCCCTGGGGGTCTCCTGCAGGTCTTCATCTTCCTGAAGAAGAAGGCGGTCATCGTCGATACCACCATCTGTGACCCCCATTACAACCTGGCCCACAGCAGCCGGCCCTTCGAGAGGCGGCTGTACGTCCTGAACTCCATGCAGGACGTGGAGAGCTACTGGTTTGACCTGCAGTGCGTCTGCCTCAACACCCCGCTAGGTACTGTCACCCCGCCGGGCCTCTGTTGTCCCCTCCTTTCTGTGTGATCTGCAAGAGGCTGGACGTGGCTTTCAGACTGCTCCCCAGGCCTGGGCTCCCTTAGAGTGGCGGCCTTGATGTTGAGGGGTTCTGGGGGACCCCACCCAGCTGAAGGCGAGCAGTTTGCCTTTGTTTATGGGCTTGTTGAATGCGTATCAAGCACCTGCATGTCATTTCCTGTGCCTGGCTGCTCAGTGATAAGAACACGGTCTGCCCCTGCCCTCGTGACACTCACGTCCTCGTGAGGAGGAGACACAGCTCACCAGAGCGCCCTGGTGTGTGGTGTGCACAGTGGGGCAGCACGTGGGGGACGTTGGTTCCAGGGCAGTATATGAGGTTCTCACAGACCTCCTTCCTTTGAGCCGAGCCCTGCAGGGATGGGAAAGTGCACTCCAGGCAGGGGGAGTAGCATGTGCAAAGGCCCTAAGGACACTACTGAGAGTAGGGGGAATGGGCAGGAGCAGAGTTGGGGGCACAGGAAGTCTGGGGCTGTTTCAAGTACAACAAGAAGCCATGGGCGGTTGGGCACATGGGGTGCCAGGACAGTACAGGGCTGAGACACTCGCCCTGGCTGCTGTGGAGGGCAGACTAGGGCACAGAGCGGAAGCAGGGAGGCCAGTTAAGGGACTGACTCATGCCCGAGCGAGATGTCTGCCCGAGCAACTGACCATGGAGGGAGGGGACAGGCCTGGAGTGTTCTGGAGAAAGAACCAACTGGACTTGTGGGCTGGCGGCTGCGCTCAGCGTCCCTTCCTCTCCCCGTGCTGGCTGCTCCTGCTTCAAGCGCTGTCTGTGAGAAAGCCTGCCGGCATCTTGTCACCTTACTTTGCTCTGTGGCTCCGCTGAGCCCTTCCCAGGGAGCGCGAGGCACAGGTCACATCAGCAGATGCTACTGAGGGAACACAGGACTTGTGGGGAGTGACGGGCCTCCACTCCAGGGCCTCCTGAGCCTCCCCCTCCTCATCTTTCCTCGCCGCCTTCACCAGGAGAAGGGTGCCGCCTGGGATTTGCACTTGGAAGGGGAATCGTATTCTGGTACTCTCGTCACAGAGCTGCAAGATCATTACCGCTTTGATTTTTGCAAAGCAGGGTCACATGTTTATTTGGGAGAATTATTTAGTGCCAACGGGGTAGTAAGCCCTGGCATTTAGAAATGTTACAGGGTCCAGAGAAAATGTAGTAGTGTGCTTTGGCATGCTGTAGAGATCAGGCTTTTATCATTCTCGATTTTAGAAGTGCCCTGATTGCTCCACATTTTATACCTAGGTGAAAATTTGTGAACCAGCATGTAGTTTGCATCAGAATTTTTCAGGCCTGCCAGTTAGTGAACGTCCATCCCTTTTCGCACTCATGGGTGAAGGCTTACTGCCCCGTTAACCAGGCATTGGTTGTCCCTTCAGCCGCCACACATTCGGAGGGGTTGTGCCCCAAAGAACGGGAGAGCGTTGTATAAGACATAATCGTGGTGTAGAACGAACGCTGCCCGAACACCAGCTTGCGCAGAAATTACCCAAGGAGCATGTTGGGGCGCTGGTCACCGGGCCCTGCCAAGGACTGTGCCTCGGTGGTGCACATGCCATTTACACGTGGACGCGTTCGAGATAATGACCTGGGGCAAGCTCTTTGTGACTTCCTCCAGCCTTCGTTTCCTCGTTTCTAAACCACAAATCCCACCAACATAGAGGGTGGAGGGAAGCTGAGCAAGGAGTCAGGTGCAGCCCAGCGGAGGGGGCGCTGCGTGAGCACCGCGTAACCCGGCCCCCGCCAGCCAGGCCATCAGGGTCCGGTGTCAGCCTGAGAGGGTCTGCGGCAGGATGCACTTGACCGTAACCTTCCCTCAGCTACTCAAGCCGCAGGGCTGGCTGGATTTTGTATTACCTTGCAAGAAATGTGATTTCCTTTATCGTGGAGTAACCGAAAATAACTCAGCTCTAGCAGTGCACCTCTTGAGTGGTTAGGAAATAGCTGCTGCCCCAGGTGCCGAGCAGGGGCCAGAGAACTGACACCCTCTCAGCTGTCGGTCCAGTCTCTTCCTCCCCAACCCCACTGCCACCACCCAGTGTCGCCGTCTCCGCCTTGCTGGCCCGCACCAACTTCGCGCGCCGGGAGGACTGGCGTTCCTCTGGCAGCCCGCCTCGTCCTTCACTGGCTTTCCCAGCTCCAGCCCTCTGGGGAGGGCAGCAGTGTCACAGTCCGGGAGTCACTCTTCTCTCAGCAGCCAGAGCGCAGCAGGACGCTGCGGTCACCTGAGCTTGGTTGGTTTCTAGGTGTGGTGCGATGCCCCGGCATCCCGAAGCATAGCACAGAGCAGGGCAGCGAGGGGGACGGCAGTCTGCGGAAGGAGCAGGAGAGCGCCATTGACAAGCACAACCTGGAGCGCAAGTGTGCCATGCAGGAGTACACCACGTGCGTCCCCGCCCCAGGGTGGTCCTAGGGTGGCCCCAGGCACAGGCCCAGGACCCAGGCCCAGGACCCAGGACAAGGCTGTGGTGGTGTTCGTCCCAGATGCCCAGCTTGCCTCGTCTGGCTGAGGACACCAGACCAAAAGGCCCACCTCTGGGGCAGAGATGGTGGCTGTAGGTCATATCTGGGCCTAGACTTGGTTTATTTAGCACCACCCCCTTTTGGGGCAGGCCTTGAACCCAGGGCCTGAGCTACCTCCCCAGCCCCCTTTTGTTGTTTTGAGACAGGGTCTTACTAAGCTGCTCAGGCTAAGCTCAAATTTATAAACCTCCCACCTCAGCCTCCCAGAGTACTGGGATTACAGGTGTGCACCACCACACCTGTTCACATGGCTTTTTAAAGTTCCATCATTTTGGGGGTGGAAATTTAGAAGTTGGGGGTTTTACCTAAATACCTGTTTTTTTTTCTACTTGTGGAAGAGTGGCACCCTGCCAACACTAGGGCCTCAGATTCCCCCCTTCTGCCTGTCGGTAGAAGTGAAGTTGGCTACGCGGTAAGCGCGTGCCCCGCCCCCACCCCCTCTGTGTGTCCCGTCCCGCAGGGGCAGCCGGGAGGTTGTGGACGAAGGCCAAATCCCCGGCGACGGGCTGGGCGCTGCGGGGCTCGACTCCAGTTTCTATGCACACCTGAAACGCAACTGGATCTGGACCAGCTACATCATCAACAAGGCCAGAAAGGTGGGCTGGGGGGACCACGGAGGGCGGTTGTCACCACACTGTCGTCGGGGCCCTTCCCGGCACCTGACTTCTGCCTCGATAAAGCCGAAGTTGGCCAGGGCCCTGAACTTACGTGTGTATTGAAGGTGCAGGAGGTAGACCCACAGTTCCTGCCTGGCTTATGTTTGTGCCAGTGGATCCTGGCCTGGCCTGTGACACGGGCAGGTGTTCCCACAGAACCGTCCTCGGTGGGGGTCCATGCGGGGACAGTGGCCGGAGAGGCCGGCTGCTCGCAGTCCATGCGGCCAGCGGGGCTCCTGGGGCTGCAGCTTGGTCCTCACCCAGTGCCGTGTCTGCCTCAGGAGAACGTCACTACAGAGAACGGGCTCACGGTGAGGCTGCAGACGTTTCTGTCCAAGCGCCCCCTGCCCCTGGGGGCTGGAGGTAGGTGTGCTGGGTGCCCGCCCGTGTTCGGGGCCACAGTGGCACCCGCGCCTGCTGCCTGGCTGGCTGGGTCCTTGCGGAGCTCGTCCTGAAACCACCCTGTCCGTGTTTCTTCTAGGCAGTAACAGTCGACTGGCCCTGTGGGGGGAGGCCAGAGCAGGCAGTGAGCCCGCGGCCCACCGGGAGGAGCAGTTTGGGATGGAGCGCGAGCCCACGCTGGGCCGAAGCCGCAGGGTGAAGGGTGGCAGGAACCAGAAGCGGAAGCGGCTGAGGAAGGACCCCGCCAAGAGGACCAAGCGGAAGAGAAAAGGTTCGTGAGGGTGGTGGGCACGCTCCGGGCCGGGTCTGCTCGGCGGGGATGTGCGGTCTCACCGCAGGCAAGGCTGGGCTCGCCCTCCGACGCGGTGTGCTGCCCTGAGCCTGTGGTGGCCATTTTACCTCCACGCCCACCATGCACACTGCCCCGCACACCTCCCACGCGTGTCCCCGCCTTCCCTGCCTGCATCTCGCAGGGCCTTTCTCACAGCGGCTCCCTCAGTTCAGATTTCTAAGCGTCTTAGCTGAAAAGCCCTCCAGCACAATCCTCCCACCTCATAGTGAGCCAAAATGCCCTTCTCCGGGCTCACCTTCCCTGTCTGCATTTATGCCACTCAGGCTGAAGTTCAGAGTCGCGTTAACATGCGTTTCAACTTGGGGCAAAGCTGGGTATCCTCTAAGCCTGCAGAATCTCTTCCACTCAGATACAACTCCACCTGTGGCTTATATTTGCCATTTTGGTTTCTTCATCTGAGCAGTTTTGTTTTGTTTTCTTATTTTTTGAAACAAGATCTCACTGTGTAGTTCAGGCTGGCCTTGAACTCACTGTGTAGCCCAGGCTGGCCTCGGACTCCTGGCGATCCTCCTGCCTCAGCCTCCCTAGTGCTGGGATTACTGATATGTGCCCTGGCAGCCAGCATTCTGAGTAATATTTATAGCGGAAAGACCTGGGGTGGTTTGGATGTCAGTGTCTTTTTTTTAGACCACTTTGGTGTCACAAGTGATGCATTTGTTTTATTGAGAATGTAATGGCCCTAGTTACTTCAGAGAAAGTAGAGTGTTTAAACAGAAACTCCCTGTATGGTGTATTGGGTTGGTGTTGGTGACTCTTCACATGCCATCTGCTGACGTGGCCTCCTTTGTTTAGCCCGATGCTGATGCATCTAGGGCCAGTTCAGCTCACAAAGGTTGGAGTTTATCACAAGGCAAACTGTGGTGGTGGTGTCACTTTGAATTCAGATTTCCTTACTCACTGGTCATCTGCCTTTGTTGGAAAAACACCAAACCAACAGCCTTTTGGAGTTGGTAGTGGAGTGTGTAGTCTTCCTGGCAAAAGCGCAGGAGGTCTTGGAGAGCTCTGGGCTGAGGGCTTGGGCGCAGTACACGTCTGCATGGTTGAAGCTGTGTGACTCGGGAGTTGGGGTGTTGCCATGGCGATAATGATTGCGTCCCTCTCTCCAGGTGCAAAGTAGTACTCTAGTTACGAGCTGATATACAAGTGCATACGGCTTAGGCCAGTGCTTGACGTGGAGTGACTGTTCTATCGTGCTGCTGACTGCCGTTGTTGATCTAGCTGTTCCTTCGCGCCAGAGACCGCTCTCACTCAGCCTCATTCACTACTGAGCACGGGATGTGTTGTCCCCGGGGTCCCCAAGAGCTCATACACTCCCCAGAGGTCACACAGCAAGGGAATGGCCAGCCCTGTGGCTGCATGGTTAGTGGGCTCGCTGGCTCGCTGACTCACCCTGAGTGTCCTGTAGGTGTCTGCGCAGCACCTCCAGAGGATACGGCACCCTGCTGGGAGCCGCTGGAGATCGGCAGATAGCTGGAGTAGCACACAGGCTGCCCAGCCGGTTACCAAGCAAACCAGCCAGAGCTAAATGGCAAAGGGGAGAAAGCCCTGTTGGTAGGGCGCAGTCTGCTGTGTCCTCTGGGTGAGGGCGGTCACAGCGAGAACCTGGTAACTGCCGTGCGTGGCCAGGGCTTGCCACCTGGCGGGGGCGTCCCTCCACTGTCCACACCACAGCTGTTGGAGGACCCTCTGCTGTCCCCTTGGTGTTTGTAGAGGAGCTCCCAGAAGCCAAAAGCAAAAGGCTGCGCTACCACGACGAAGCCGACCAGAGTGCCCTGCGGCGGATGACGCGGCTGCGTGTCTCCTGGTCCATGCAGGAGGACGGGCTTCTCATGCTCTGCCGCATCGCCAGCAACGTCCTCAACGGCAAGGTACCTGCCCTGCTCCGCCCCTCCCGGAGTCCCCAGCCTTGGGACCACTGATCTCACCGGCTCCTGCTGGCTGCTGGGAAGGCGCGTCCCAGGCCGCTGCAGGTGGTGCCATTCCCGGCTTGCGCATTCCCTCCCAACCGTCAGTTGCAGACATCGGGTTTTTGCCTGGTTGCGGGCGCAGTAGTGCAGCGCTGCTCTCTCGCTCTTCCCTGGGAGCCTGGCCCTTTCTTGTCGTCCTCCACTTCCCTCTGTTCGTCTTCCAGTCAGGCTCACCGTGTCTGGGAGAGCTTCAGATCCCACCTAGTGGAAGTAATTGCCTCCTTCGCCCTCTGTTCCCTGGGCTCTTGCTTCCCACCTGGGCTCCCGCTGCTGCTGGAGCCTCGAGGCCGCTGTGCCTTAAGGCGGAGACACCTATCATTGGGTTGCCCGGCCATAGCCCCAAGCATGGTGCCCCCGCCCAGCTCTTGGGTAGCGACCGCTGGTTGAATCTGTGCGGCCTGGCGGTGTTCGCCTGCCTTCCCCACCACAGTCCCCTGCGCTTGCCCTGCCCTGTCCCGATCCCCAGGCAGTGGGGACGACTTAGCCTCTGTCTAGCAAGCACTTCTTTCTGACGTCCCTGAAGACACTGCAGTGCAACCAGAGTTCATCTCACACCACGCCTCCTCCCCAGAGCGTTTCTGACTGCTGCTTTCTGCGTTCTTACTCTGCGGTGCTGTCCTGGTTGCCTCGGTCTGCAGCAGGACACAGACCAGTGTCCAGCCAGGCTGCTTCAGAGAAGCCGTGTGCGAACGCGCTCCGCCATTGTCCTGCCCAGGGCCCTCTGCAGGCAGCAGTGCGGCCAGGCGGAGTGGGTGAGGCAGCCCCTGAGCTGGGTGCGGCTGGCCTCAGGCGCGGCAGCTGGGAGAGACCCGAGTGGGGCTGGTGGGCCCGGATGCTCGGCACGGGCAGGCTCTTTAGATCCTACACTTGATCTTAGCCAAAAGGCCGAGAAGCGATAGGCTCTTTAGATCCTGTCGGGCCCATTTGCCCTCGTTCTCTCCCCTCGTCCTGCTCGCTGTGCAGGGCGACCCCTTGCATCCCTGAAGCCTGTCCCCTGCGCTTGCAGGGGTCTTCCCATTGCAGCATTGGAGGCAGCGCTCAGCGGGGCCTCCACAGCGCAGTGGCGGCAGTGGCCCCCCTGCTACGCCACTTGCCAGAATGTCCGCTGTCTTGCTGGGTCGTCTTGTTCTTGGTGTTGTAAGAAAAATCATTAAGCACCTTCCTGTGTGTAGTTTTCTGAGATACTGAGTCTGCTATCTTGGTCCATTCTCCTTGTCCCAGTGTAACATGAGGCATGCGGTATAGGATGGCTCCTGCCTCCAAAGCGGAAGGCCTTCTAGGCACAGTTAGTGTTCTTTAACCTCCCTCACCTGTAGCGCTTCCGGTCAGAGACACCTTGTACCTTCAGGGCACTTCCACTAAGTATTAGTGAGAAGAGACGTGTCCCCCAGACACGGCGGAGGTGGTTAGCATGGCTGGGTGACTGTGAGGGGGACAGCTCTGAGTACACTGAGGACAGAGGCTCCGTAGGACACATTTTTCCATTCGTTCCCCATAGTGTGGGCCGCTTGGATAGTGATTTTCTGTCTTTGCTCTGTCTTTGCAGGTGAAGGGCCCATTTGTCCCCTGGCAGGTCGTGAGGGACATCTTGCACGCCACGTTTGAAGAGTCTCTGGATAAAACGTCTCACTCAGTTGGACGAAGAGCTCGCTACATCGTCAGAAACCCGCAGGCCTATCTGAACTATAAGTAAGCCACGTTTGTAAGTGGATCACTCCAGGGCATGGTTGTTCTACTTCTTCTAGATCGTTATCCTCTCCTTTTTCACCTCCACTTGCTCGGGATGATGTGGAATCTGGGTGAAGCACCGAGCCTTCCAGTAGGCTGTCTGGGTGTTGGAGGTTGTGAGTGGCACCATCCTTGGTTGGTCAGGGGCTGGCATGGTGCTGGGCACTCCCATGAACTGGGCTTTAGAGAGCCCTTGTGAAGCAGGGAAAGAGCTGAGGCTCCCGGGCTGCAGGACACACTAAGACCATCTGCGCAGTGTGTGGTGAGGCAGAGGCCGCCCCGCACGGCCACTGAGCCCAGCTGTGCCCCGATGGCTTCTCTGCCGGCAGTGAAGTTGCCCACCGGCTCCTGACGGGCCACGGTGGTGAAGCACTGCCAGCCCCTTTGGACCCCTGCAGTTCCCTCCATGAGAGCGTGGGGGGACCCTGCCGTGCAGCCAGCGTGAGGTCAGGGTGTGGAGGAGCCAGGGGAAGGAAGGGAGCAGGCACTTCCACACAGCCGGCTGGGGCCGAGGTTGCAGAGCTGACCCTGTGTCGGTTCTGGCTCATGCACTCCCGCAGCCAGCCAGACCCTCCAGAGAGGGGGCCGGCCCAGCCTGTGCAGGAAGCTCAGCTGTAGGCAAGGTTTCTGACGCTGGGCACTGCTGCCCTGTGGGCGGGGCGGTTCTCTGTTGCGTGGCCGTCCTGTGCCTTGTTTGACGGTAGGCAGCACCTGAGCCTCCACACCTCTCCCCGTTCCGCTGACAGCCCCTGTGGAGCAGAAGTGCGCCCGGGAGAACTCGGGGCCTCGCTGGGTAAAGCTTCTTTCCTGTCTGTCTGAAAGAACCCTTTCTATTGGAAAAGTATCCACTGAGCTACACACTTGCTTCCCGAGGGGAAATAAGCCCACAGAGAAAGGGTGCATCAGGGTGACAGTGACCTGGCCGTGAGCCGAGGTCTGAAATGAAAGCTCCCTGACCTCTAGCTGATGCGTTTCCACTTCCCCAACAGTAGCCCTGAGGGTCCCAGCCTTTGAGGTCCCGACTCCATCCTCAGGGGAGGCCCCGGGGCCCCAGGGGTGAGGCACTGATTCCCACGGAGGCTGTCTCCTAACTGGGGAAGCAGATGATGCCAGCAGTAGCCGTGCCCCCCACAACCTTGGGATGTGTGACGTCAGCAGGCCCCTTCGCCCCTGCGCTGTGTGAATGACAGTGTTCATCTGGCAAGCTCTGTGACCCGGGTGGTCTCCTTGTTTCCCCTTGGGCACGTCGGACTTCCCTTACAGCACTGCGGAGACAGATCTGTGGGTGGGCAGACAGCGCTTGGGAGAGCGGAGCTCTGAGGGGTGACGGGCACCAGCTCCTGCGATTCTGTAACGCGCACACACACTCTCACACCTCGTCTGTGAGAGACACCCAGACTCCCTGCTCAGCCAGGGAGTGAGGAGGGTTCAGAGAAGCCCTGGGGTAGAGTGTGAGCAGGGGCCGGCCTGACTTCCTTCAGGTTCAGCTCACCCCAAATCATTCGTTTCCAAAAGTGCCAGTCCTCCAACAGGCATGTAAGGAAACGGTGCTCACTGTTGGCCGAGGCCCGACACGCCAGGCCGGAAGTCCGCTGAGGCCCTGCGTGTAGCCCGTGACACAGTCCCCTGACTGTGTTTCTGTCCTGCACCGCAGGGTTTGCCTGGCTGAGGTGTACCAGGACAGAGCGCTGGTTGGAGATTTCATGAGCCGCAGATGTGACTACGAGGACCCAAAGGTAGGCCCCGTGCAGCAGCAGGCCCAGCCTGCTTTGACGGCTGGCGTTGCAGTGCCGGCTGGGCCCTCGGGGTCTCTCCGGCGCCTTTGCCAGCCCTAGAACGCGGGTGTTTCTCCTGCTTATTCGGGAAACGCACTTGTCAGTCCTTTGGCTTTGGACCCCATTCGATCTGGCTCCAAGCATCTGTTTCTGAAGGTGATTTGAGTTTGACCTGCTGCTTTGAAACGCTGCTGTGCCTCGGGCCCGTCTTGTTAAGAAAGTAACACTGCTGTTCAGAAGTTACGAGCAGCCGGGCTTCCTGGAACGCTGCTTTTGAGTTGGCCGTGGGGTGCGGGCCGGGCGGTGGCTGACAAGGAAGACGCCACCTTTACAGAGCAGAGGCCCCTTCTGGTCGTCTGTCACTCCCTGAGCTGGCCCAGGGCTCCGCCGCACATGGCTCAGGCTGGTTCCAGGGAGGCCTGGGAGGAGGAGATGCGGCCCTCCCCCAGGGGAGCCGAGGGCGAGCGGGAGAGTGGGATAGGCAGAGAAGTAGCCAGCTCCTGCCTCACAGCACAGCCCGGCCTGTGAGTTCAGCGAGGGGTCCGGAATGCTCTCAGATGCAAGCGACGCAAAATCCCAGCCTCATGGCGGCCTAGGACTCGGTTTCCCCGCATGCCGAGAGTGGTGCCGGGTGCAGGGCGGTGCTGCCCACAGCCGGTGCAGCAGAGAGCAGTGTCAGGTTCAGTCTGTCCCCCCCCCCCCCCCCGTCCTTAGTGGTCACCAGTGCCGTCCTTACACCATCACCCTGCGTTGCAGGTCGGCTCGTATAGCTGAGGCTTTGGGCCAGAATACCGGGGCAGGAAAAGTGGAGGCTTGGGCTGCCCTGGGCCTTGGTATTGAGGGGCAGCCTTTCCAGCAGACCTCACAGGTTTGGGCCCCATGGCTGGGCAGTGGGTGTCCGGTGCACGGGCTGAGGTGGCAGGAGTGGCACACCCGGATTCCCAGAGGCGTAGTGCCCTTCTTCCCCAGCCCGTGAGAAGCACGGAGACCAAAGGCAGGCGCCCACGGCCTCTCGCGGTGCCGGCTCTGTGCTGTGCCCGGGCGCTGCGAAGGAGGAAGGGCAGGTGCCCACAGAGCAGTGCGAGCTGGACGCTGCGGGGCCAGCGCCTTGGCACAGCTCAGGGGCCCAGGCATGGAGCCGCGCAGGCAAGGCCGTCTATTAGAATGACCACAGTGGCCACGCTGCAGAGGAGCTGGAGGCGCAAGGGTACACGGCCCGCAGGAGCCAGGCTGTGATCTGGTCAGGACGGAGACGGCAGGGTCCCGCATGGGGACATGGGCAGACAGAAGGGACATGGGCAGACAGAAGGCAGTATGGTCCGCGTTTCCGGGTGTAGCTGCCGGGCATTTGTCCCAAGCTGTTCCTTAGTGCGTCTTCAGGAAACCGTCACAGAGAGCAAGGATTCACTTCTCCTCTCTTGTGGAAGGTTTGTGCCAAGGAGTTCAAAGAATTTGTGGAGAAGCTCAAAGAGAAGTTCAGTTCTGCACTGAGGAATCCTAACCTCGACATCCCGGACACGCTGCAGGAGCTGTTTGCCAGGTGGGTGCTTCGGGGCTGGCTCCACCTGGTCCTCACAGGCAAGAGGCCGAAGGCGGCTGGCCGCGACCACGCCTGTCGCCTCGTCAGCGGCTCTGGGCAGCCGTGGCCCCTGCCTGGCTGCGTTTGGCTTCGCAGGGCCTCTCCAGGGACTCTGGTCTCTCGTGGGAGACTCGAAACGGAAACACCTGCCGTTCCCGGCGCGCCCTGGGCCCTCACCCTGCTCCTGCTAAAGCCCTCATGCTGACTTACGTC